TGAAATCATGACCTAGAAGCCCTAGCGACTTCCTACTTAAAAGTAATAGAAAGTTGATTAATAATTTGTAGCTAAGTTTTAGTAAGCTAAATAAATCCTTTCTAGAATCTTCAGGCTATTAATATCTATTTCATCAGGAAATATATATTAATTTTATCTAACATTTTGATGAACCCTACATCACATATTAGAACCGAATAGCTATTGATCATTAGGTTGAACAATAGCATTTTTAAAATCTTATTTACTTGCTTAATTTATATCGATTGTGAATCTAGTACCAGCAACTGAGACGTTGAACTTACTCAGAAATTCGTAGATGTGAGTTCCTTCTGTAAGTATTGATTTTAGAGTGTAAGTATTTTGTTTAAAGAATTCATTCATATTATCTTACAAAAAGTCCAAACTTTTTTGCATAATTTACCTTTGAGTTTCATTGTCTACAGTCATGTTATTATACAGTTTGTAAGTTTGATTCCATAACAGAAGGCGAAGATCAGAAACTGCGAATTGCAGAGTTGAATTGTTAATAGTAAAACCAATAACAAATTAGACGGATGCAGTTTCTTCTAACTATTTTTAAAAGAAAGGATTAACAGAAACTTCAGGATAAATATTAATCGAGTCTTATTTCATGATATTCAATCTTACAAAATAATTGTTGAGATTAGAAGTTCTTGCCAATAAGATAGATTGTAATTTGATATAAGAATTCATCTCTCGAAGTTTATAAAATTTGAATAGATGTGGGTATAAATCATAATAGTAAGCAGTAGACAAGTAATGATTTATAAGGTTGAAGTAATTAGAGCCAATATCAATCTCTAGATAATTCCTAGAGACAGCTTAATTAAGTAAATCAGGCGTGGTTTTATCAAAGCAATCAGTAAAAAATACTAAAAATTTTATTGACTGATAATAGTTTAATGGTTCATAATACTTTGTGCCAATTCTTAAGATATCTTAATAAACTTCGATTTCATCAATTATGGTTAGAATATTTACGAAGTTGAAAAAGTATGTTTAATCAAATTATCCAAGTTTTAAAAGGAAATTATGTTACAAGGTATATCTTTGTTCGAAACTATAAATCGAAACAGGTAAACCAATATAATTGTAGAAATCTACAACTATTGGTAAGAATTTAAATAATTGTTAACTTATAAAAACTGTATTTGCATAAATGGTTCTTAGAACAAATCGGGATTTATAGTCTAGCAATAATATAGAATCTTCAAATAAGCTTTGAAAAACAGGCTGGATAGTATTATTGTGTGATAATAGTTTTAAATCGTGATATACTAAATCTATTTATCTAAGTTAAATGGTTGATACTCATTTTTACAAAAGTACTTTTTCTTAAATAGATATGGAAATATTTGCTAAAATGTAAAACTTTTCTAATGAAAGCTGAATAACTCCATTATAAAGATTGAGATTGTAAATTTTAAATGAAATAGTGTTATTAAACAGGATTCTATCGAATGAAGGAGTCTTTACTTTAATTGATTAGGTTTATTAATCACTGCTAAGCTTAAAATTAGAAAAATTGGCACTATTGACAAAGAATCCAACATTTTTCAATTCTAGTGAGAAGCTGCCATACTAGAACTATCAATTAATATTTATGGTCTTATTCGTGTAATTCAACAGCAAATTATGCAATTTATAATCTTATTGAATAAGTTTGTTGAAACTAGTCAAGTTTACTTTTGCTGTGAACTTACAAAATTTACCCATTACCGAATTATCTATTATCAAACTGAAAATTAGAATTTAGAAAAATGGTAAAATTGATTATTTGGGAATGTAAGTAATGGTAATTATTTTCATTAGGCTATGAAAATGCAATTAAATAAATTAGAATTGTTTATTAGTCGATCAAAATTTTATTTAATCACTAAATAGAGTAAATTTTAGTTTCACGGGGTTTTGGGGTTTTGGGG